ACATTCATCCTCTGTCTGTGCACTATGTGATTTTACTGTGAAAATAATGTGATAATTATTTTATACTGGTTAACATATTATATGTGTGTGTGTGTGTGAGTATGTGTGTGTGTGTGTGTGTGTGTGTGAGTATGTGTGATTTTAGAGATAATAGTTTCAACAAAATTACATATAAATATGAGATCATATGATCATCCTTAATTAATAGTTTATTTTCTTTTAATTTTAATTATGGATTAAATAATTTGGAGACTCATAAATATTCTCGCATTCTCGTAAAACATGATGTTCTTGTTTGAACCTCCACACACACACACATACATATATATATATATATATATATATATATATATTGGTTGGGAGATGTAGTCAATATGAGTGTTCGTATATACACATATTTTCATCTTTTTACAAACATAATTTATTCATTTGTTGCATGTGCTTTTGTATCAATATTTTAATATTACCTACTTGTTATATGCGTAAAATTAATTCTAACGATAGACAATAGTTCTAAGTCACCAAAAATCAAAAACACATATTTATTTAAAATAATGATGGCAACCTGTCAACCCTACCCAACGGTTGGGTAGGGTTACACTTTGTAACGAGTTAGGGTTTGAGCTGAGATTTTTTCAAACCGTCATAAATGGTTGAATTGTTTAAATGCTTCAAACCATAAGTAAACTCCGAAAATATTGTCAAGACAATTATAATTGTATAATTTGTAAAAAAAGAAACATATTTTAGTTAACATATGATTATGTATGTTAATAAGATAAGTGTGTAAAATAATAAACGAAAAAGTAAGAGATATAATACAAAGTAAATAAATAACTAGGTATAAAGTGTGTATTAAAAATAGTTTTGTAAAAAATTACGTATTTATAGTATTTGATGATATGATTAAATCCAAAAATATTCAATATTTGCTTCATTTAAATGTATTTATAATGGTATAATTTCTATAAAAAGAAACACATTTTTAAACGTAGTTCATTAATATTTGATTATGCATGTTGATAAGATAATGATGTAAAATGAAGTTTTAAAAATGATATAGAACAAATTAAATGAATAACTATAAGACTATAAGTATATATATGAAATATAAGTATTAAAAACAATTTCATATTATTTATGATATATAATAATATGATCACATTAAAAAAATATTCAATATCAGGCTTACTTTTTTTTTTAATTAACCTGGATATCCAACCCGCTATGCGAGCCGACTAATCATAGGGCGACCACCTGCTTTACAAATAGCCCGGAGTCACCGCATTTGAACCTCCGTGACCACAAGGGGATTTTTATTTCTCCTTGGATTTGAACTTGAGACCTCTATCAGGCTTACTTTAACGGTATTGAGGAGTAGATTATAATGATTTAATTTGTTAAATGAAACATACTTTAATTAATATATGGTTATGTTGTGTTAATATGATAAGATTATGTAAAATGAAAAATGAAAAAGTAAAAAGTAAAAAGATACAAAATGTAAATAAAAAATAAAAAATGTTGAGGATTGACCTAGGGGTGTTCATCTAAACCGTCAAACCGTCTGCACTGCACTGCAATGCGGGGTTTAAAAATTTTGCAATGCGATTTGCAGTTTGCATTTTACCAGACTACACTATACGCAGGCATGAGAATGGACCCCGACCCGTTGGAGAACCCGATCCACCCGTCCCGATCGGGACGAGGATCCCCGTTTATCTCAAATCGGGGATGGGGATGGGGATGGGTATTGGTACTCCATGCCCCGTACCCGTTTTATATATATAGGAGCACGTTCAAATGAAAATCGTGCATTTCTAAGAAACCGTGTAAACCAATTTCAACCAATAGGAAAATTCTATTTTTTTCTAATTAAATTTAATCAATAAGGGTATTTTGGTCATTTACAATATTTTCTATTAAATATGGAAGTTATTAATAAATCTTAATTAATGAAACGTAATAAAATAAATTGTATAAATGGTAACATTTAAATATTTAATTATTATAATATAAAAAATTTGAATTTGATATATTGTTATGAGATTGAATCTGCAAACGGGTCTTAAAGATTGAATTGCATTATAGAATGAAATCGTAAATTATGGTTCAAATTAAAAAAATAATGTTAATGAAACATGTTTCATGAAGGTGAAACTGGTTCATGTTGGTGAAACTGGTTCATGTTGTAATTGATTCATGAGTAATATGAAATCGTTTCATGGTGAACCACGTTTCAGTGATGGTTGTAGTTGATCCGTTTAGTAGAAAAAATGGAACATGAAACGGGTGCATAATTTATTTGGTTCATCATGAAATAATTGCATGATGAAACAGGTACATGATGAATCTGCTTCGAGATCTTGAAGATTGTAAGGCTTAAAGGAAAGAATGCATCAAATCATGAGTGAAATAAAAAAATTAATTTACATGAAACATGTTTCATGAAGGAGAAACTGGTTCATGGCGTAATTGAACAATGAGTGGTTAACTGCTTTCATGGTGAAACTCGTTTCAGTGATGGTGTAGGTGATCCATTCAGTAGATGAAATGAAAAATGAAACGGGTGCATAATGTAGGCGGTTCGTCATGAAATAATTGCAAGATGAAAAATAAATTAGTTTCATTAATAATAATAAATGTTAACGTAAAAATAATAAATTACTTTACAAAAAATAGATTAGTTTCATTAATAATATGATATACATGATATGGTTTCCTTGAATAAATGAATATTTGGTTTTACCCTTTTACCCTTATCGGTATTATAAAATGTATTTTCAATTTTTTTATTTTTAATTTTCTTAAATAACCTTAACCATTGATCAAGAAAATGGATGAGTGAGATTGGTTTACACGGTTTACACAAATGGAGGTGGTTTTTATTTGATCGCTCATATATATATATATATATATATAATTTATATCAACTAAACCGGTAATTCATAATTTCCTATTTTCTAACTAGGTTTATAATCTATAATTGTTACTTTTTGGATGTTTATATGTAATAATTTGGATGTCAAGTCAAAATACAATTACTCGATAAATTTTGTATATTACTCGATATGATTTTATATTACTCAATATCTTTTGGTACATTTGACTTTAAGTTTTTTTTTTTTTTTTCGATTAAATTGATTTTTGTTTGTTTTAGGTTATTAGTTATTATATTATGTTGTGGTTTCTTTGTATTAAATTAAATTCATTTTTCTTTTAGGTTTATTGAAAATGTTTGAGATTTAAACATGTATGGTCTCTCACATATTTAATTCAAAGTAATTTATATAAACGGAAAAAAAATCTATATTTCCCCGTGGGGGATGAGGATGTGATTATATTCCCCGACGGGGATTCGGACAAGGACATGGATAGATATAGAGATAAATAATCGGGGACGGGGACAAGAATTGAGGTCCCCGCCCCATTCCCATGCCATAGTCTATACGGTGCATTTTGTCGTTTTGAGTTGTCAATCCTCGGTTTAAACCGCACCACACATTTTGTATATATATTTTTAATGTATATTATACATATATAATAATTAGGCTAATTTACATAATACCTTTAGTTCTTTTGGACTATTTTTAATTATTTAATATCTCTACTTTTCTTAGACTCTTTTTAATTATGTAATATTTTTAGTTTTCCTAGACCATTTTTAATTATGTATATGTATTTCGGAATCAAATGTTTTTAAACTTTTTATTTGTTTGACTACGGTCGCGATATCATTGATTTAATAATAAAGTTTTATCTTATAATTATTATATTATAGATTTAGGTGGTGTTTGTTTTTTAAGAGGTGCTGAAGTCTGAAGTCTGATTTCACTTCTGATTTATAAGAGGTGGTGCTGAAGTCTGAAATCTGAATCAGTCAGACTGTTTGTTTTTACGTCTGAAGTCTGAAATCTGAATCAATATAAACACGAAAAAAAGTCTCAAAACGACTAGAACCAATATTCATATTGCATTAATTGTGTCGCCATCATCCTTTGCTCATTGGTTTGATCATACTCAGAAAATAACTCATATATAGGAGAGATCGATTTGTAGAGATCGTTTTGGATAGATTGGTAGCTTGAGACCGAGCGAGAGATCGATATGGTGTCTAGATCGTGTGATGTGGGATAGATCGGTATGATTTGGTAGCTGGAAATCAAGCGAAAGAACGAGAGATTGATATGGTGTGTGAATAAGAGCCCATTAAGAGTAGGGCTGTAAACGAACCGAACGTTCAGCGAACCGTTCGTGAACCGTTCGGCGGGAAGTTCGTTTATGTTCGTTTATTTAATTATGTTCGTTTACGTTCGTTTATGTTCGTTTACGTTCGTTTATGTTCGTTTATGTTCGTTAAGACTATTCGTTTATGTTCATTTAGGCATGTTCGTTTATGTTCGTTAAGACTGTTCGTTTATGTTCGTTCGTTTACGTTCGTTTAACTTGTTAACGAACGAACATGAACGAACACGAACACATCGGATTTCTAAACGAACGAACATGAACACAATTATTTTCGTTCGTTTACCGTTCGTGTTCGTTCGTTTGTTCGGTTAAGTTAAACGAACGAACACGAACAAGCCTCCGTTCGTGTTCGTTCGGTTCGTTTACAGCCCTAATTAAGAGTTTAGACTACCACTTAAAAATTCAGAGGACAATAAGAGCTTTTTAGCTCTTATTTTAAAAAAAAAAAAAATCAAACGGTCTGAAAATAAAAACGAACAAGCCCTTAATGTGTGTTAGGTACAAACCGTATAAACCACATTGTATTTTGCGCCGGTGCAGTTTTTTACGGTTTGAGGTACATGCAGTGCGGTATGTGGTTTGAATAAGTGTTTAAATCACATATCCTTTACGGTTTACAGTTTGGCTCCAAACCATACCAAACAACACCGCGCCCCTTGTTTAACCATTGAATTTGGTTTGTGAAGGGAAGTAGGGTATAAAATCTAGTAGGAGGTATGTTTATAAACCTCTAACTAAAATAACGGTATTACGAGAACATGAAACAAATTTCATCCATTTTCTTCCCGTATATTAAATTCGTCGCAAAACCATCCAAAATATGAATTTTTATTCCTTTATAATACAACTTATTTCTATATCCTTGTCGTCGAGCTGATCAGATCAAGTTCTTTTTCTTAATTTCTTGCTTTCCTTTGGCATGAGAACTTTTGCGTTTCTTTGTTCCTGCCAAGAACTTTGATTCCTTGGTTGCGTTGGTACTTCTTCCTCAATATCTTCGTTTTTCATCATGGATTGTTGATAATATTTGAATGCAACCAACAACATGAACACTGCATGTAACCATGTTTCAAATCATCAACAGAACTTTTGTTAATTGATTCTTCGCCGAAGGTATGTATTTACCTGCCCAAGTACGAGCAATGATTGAGGAAAGATTCCAAACAAGGGTGAAAACACCAATAGCAACAGCTTTCTTTTGAGAGCACGATTCCCATGCATCCTTGAAGCGTCGAACCCAGAATGTACCTTCAGTTGTGTGTGAAATACTCTGTCAGAGACATTTGGTGCAAAAAATCGATTTTAAATACCCACAAAATGAAGATAGGAAACATATATTTATAAACTACGATTAAGTCAACAAACTATGAAGTTGTTGACTCTTAGAATCAATCGTTTCTGGATTTGCATCACCTGCAAATTCGAAGAAAATAACTAAAAATTTTGTAGTGACGAAAGATTAGAAAATGCTAAATATTATATATTATATATATATATATATATATATATTCCATAATTATAATATTTTCTCAAGAAGAAAGTGTTAAAAAGCCAAATGTGATGATGGGAAAATCTAATGACTACAGCTACAACCTTAAAAGCATCAAAAGAGCCGTTGGGGCATTTCATCAAACAGGTGATGTGCAACTTCACTAGATTTCCAACAGTTACGAGTGGAGATGGACCCACGTAAATTATTGTCAACACAAGCAGCTAACAAGCAGCTAACAACCAGCAATAATGATGAACCGATCCGGTCTATTAACTTTCCGGTCTCGAAGTGCTTGAATGTTTATACAGTACAAACCATCAATGCGTGGCAAAGATTTCTTGGATGAGCAAGTACACAGCTCAAGGACAGTACTCAGTGATAATATAAAGGCAAATGCAGGAAACTCATGTGATTTTTTTTACCATATGCAGTCAGTTGAGAAGAATAAGAGGAGCATATCTTAGGCACTGTAAAAACCCCAAAAAAACCTGCAAAAAATCAGCAAGAATCCCATCAGAATTCAAGAAATTCGATTCAGGAACTGAATTCCTTCATAAAGGTTCCTGTTTTCTTCATCATTAATGGTGGAATCTTGATTTGCAAGACTCAAAATGATTGGATTTAATCGAATTTGGGTGAAGAAAAATTACTAAACTGACCCATTTTCGCCAATTTCCAAATGGTTATGGAGCTGCCACATCTTGCCAAAACAAATAGCAGAACTGCCAACTGTCAGATGACACCGAAAGTTTCTCACATTCTCACAGATATTGCAAATAAAGATGAAATTTGCATCAAAATCAGTGAAAAAAATGAAAAAAAGAAAAGAAAAAATCACCTTCATTGTAGTAGCAGGATCACCTGAAAACAGAGCTTTGATTTTCAAAAGGAATTCGTTGATGTAAGGGAGGAACAATTTTAATGCCCAAATTGCTTCTTCTTCACCAAGAACACATTCTTCATCATCTGTAATATTATCTGCTTCTACAACACCCCTGTTTTTCAACAAGATGAAGATCAAGAAAATCTTGAAAAAATGGTGTCATGTTTATGAATGTATGTGCATGAGTTACCTGTAAATGAAGGATCTGAAGATGAAGATTGCAGCAAGATAGATGAGACCCAGATATGAAATTACAGAAATAAAACTGAAAAAAGCAGATATACAGAGGGTTGTTATGAAATAGGATGAATATATATATATATATATATATATATATCAAAATTGCCATTAATTTGCTAACCTGATATTGAGATCTTGAGTATATGATGATGAAAGAATAGAAAATGTCCCAAAACCAAAAATTAGTGCTGATTTTGATGCATCTCTCCACATGATTAAATCCACTGAAACAATTAGAAGTCATGAGAAGTTGAATTCAGTGCATGAAGATCAAGAATCGCAATGTAATGATCGGCTTGAATGTTGAAATTTGAAAATACTAACTGAAACTGTGCAATTTGCTATGGGATCTGGGAACTCTCTGTGATGGGAATTCATCTGCAAAATTGAAGATGAAATTGAAGTCAGATTGATTGAATTGGGAAACGAGATTCAAGAACAGCAGAATACTTGCTTGGTTTTGAAATGATTCTGGGATGATTTACAACAGGAGGAGGTTGTTTTCTGATTGTTCTTGAAACGGGGTTTGATCTTTCATTTCGCTGATGAATTTTCTTTTCTTCAATTACGACATCTGGGGACTTCTTTTTGCTGATTGTGGAAATGGGTTCCATTTCTTTAACAACAACAATGCTTCTTTCTTCATTAATTTCTTCATTTTCCTCCATTGTTGCCTTATTAGAAGCTAGTTCATCTTCTTCATAATCTTCAGCATCTAAAATCTGAGGAGAGATGTCTTTCCTCAAATCATCTGTCATCTGTTTCTCCTCACAAACAACACCTAATTCATCTAAGCTTTGACTAGAATCAGATCTATTATTCTTCATCTCTTTATCATCTCTGTATTCCCCCTCAATTTCTTCAACTCCATGGTTGGAATCAATGCTAATTTGAGTTCCTGTTGTTGGCAATGACTTGACTCTCTCAATTCCATCACTTAAATCGCTAGTCGTACTTCCTATTCTTGATAAAGATCGAGTCTTTGTGGTCCTCTGAACTGGGCTTCTCTCGATGGAAACACTCTGTTCCTTATTCCATTCCAGTCTCTCCTTCTTCATCTGAACTGGGCTTTTCTTGATCCCATTTCCATCCATGGAAACACTCAATTCCTTACTCAATTCACTCAACATTTTCTTGTTTTCAGATCTAACCTTTGGGATCTGAGCTGGGATTCTCTCAGAACCACCATCAGATTTCCATGTTTTCCTCTTTCCAACACCACCACCGACTCCATTAGAGCTCTGTTTGGATCTCAAACCCACCTTCTCCATCTCACCAGTAGTCTCAGTTTCAGTGGGTTTTTCCATTTCTTGTGTTTGATTCATATTCTTGTCATCACCATTGAAGACTTTGAAGCTACCTTTCATTCTACTCTCCCAAACAGAACCCATCACCACCCCATTTCTTGATGAATTAGCTGCTACCCTTTTTCTTTCCAAATCCATTGAACTATTTGATTGCTGGTAGTGGCTTTGAGATGAAGAAATGGCAGTTGGTTTGGTGATGGTTGTTCTATTATACTCATGAACCATTGAGATCTCTATTATTATGTTATGTGGGAGTGAAAAGAGAAAGGAAAAAAAAAGGGCAGGGGACAGAAAGGGTCTTAGCCCCTTGTCCAAGGCTTAAATTGTCAAATTCATAAGAATGTACAACATTTGATTCATATGGTACAAGTCATTAAAGCCATGATCCAATGGATTTAGGAAGAAGTAAGCCATGAGTTTAGTCACTTTCTTGGTCTCTTTTCTGCTTGGTCCCCACCCCCTATTTCTTTATGGTGATGGAGTTTGTATGTGAATTTGTGGAGTAAATGTAGTCATATGTGGTCATTAATGATTAGGCATTTGGATTAGGGAGCAATTGGGATTTATTCCTCACACTTTATTGTACCTTGCTATTACTTGTTTAGTGAAAACAATAAATAACTTTACTTTCTTAATTACTGTATTTAATACATTATATTTAACAGAAGTTCTAATCGTTTTTTTAATCAAGAACAATAACAACGAACAAAAACGATCCTACCATCTGCCACTCTCTGAAGCTCAACAAAGACCCACATGGGCTGCCATACCAAACAAAAGAACAAAGGACCAAAATCATGCATCTAACACGATGAGGCAGTCGGGTACAGTACCATGACACCCAAGATCCAGCGAAAACTTTAGCATGATGAGTCATGAGATAACCAACGAAAAAGACAAGCCGCATATTGAACAACAAGTCATCAACATCGTCCAAATTGATGAACACATTTATTTTGAGAGCTCCAAATCAAATACAGGGAGATCTAATTTTTGAAAATCTATTAGGAATACTTGTATTCAATTATATGAAACGAGATATTATTAATGATATACTAGAATGGTACTAGCGTAATATAGCGAAATACATTTTTCTTTTAATATTTCGTTTTATTTTTTGTCTGTTGATATAATATGGTTTATGTGATTTTGAGAAAGATAGTGTTTTTACTTTTGAATAAAAATAAATTTGAAAAAATATATCGATATTAATATCAAATTAACTATTTAAAAACTCATTGTTTTTTATATAATTTATTTAATTCATTTTTTATTATAATTTAATTTAGCTCAAATAGTGAAGTAATTTATTTTTGGCTTACGATAAATTTTTTATAAAGATAATGATTCTGTTAGAACTCGATAATTATCCTAATTATATTTTAGAATTTTTATATTTTARAATGAGATGTTTATCATCTATTTGATTATGTTTATCCGCAGTTAGTTACACGAATTCAAACATAAAGCTTTAATAAGTTCTACTTATGTATAATTTACTTGTAATCTTGATTTTTAAGTAATATGCATCAATAAACAGTACTTCATGCATAACAAATAGTTTTTAAGAGTTTTTATCAAATGCTTTATAATATAGTATAGATAGCTCCAATCAAGCAACTCCTTATTATGTTAAAAATATATTAAAAAAAACTTAACATAAATCGTCATATTTGATTTTAGTTTTAACTTTTACTGTAATTATTTTATCTGATTTTTATATTAAAACAACCAATGTGATTCATTTTTTGTTGTTGTAATAATATGGATTAAATTTTAATTTGAAAAAATTGGAGTAATAATTCACATTTTGTAAGTACATGTTTTATATTTTTGAATAGATTGTTAAAAAACAATTAAAAAATATATTAAAAAGGTGGCATATCTTCATGAAGATCTACAAAAGATTGGTATGATGAATGAGGGTGCATGAGAAGTAGGGTGGGAGTAGAAGTAAGGAATCACTACTTCAAGCTCATGCTAAAGTGTAATTAGTAATTAATTAATTACTTAGTAAAAAGGTAAATCATCATCACAATTCATATGAAAGAGAAAGAGATCTGCAATCTGCTCAAAGCATCAAAGTAAAGTGTAGTTTTAAAAAGGGAAGCATGTTACTCATTTTGTTTTAAAATAAACATATACAATCGTCATTTTTATTTCTATTAATAAAGTAGTATTATCTTTATATAGAGAGAGAGATAGAGATTGTTTCAAATACTAACCAATATTTTTGTATTAATTTTATTAACCAAGCTTAACCAATTATATTTTATCTTTTCTTTAGGTTCACATATAACTCATATATTAATGACAAGGGTAATTAAGTAATTTGTTATTTATGTAACTCCCAAATCATTAATTGGGAGTTACAAATCTAAAAATCTTAATAATTGATGATTATGTAATATTGATATTTTTTTTATACGTGTTCATGTTTTGTAATTTCGATTTATTTTATCCATGATGATATTGATTTTGTAATTGTTAAAGAATTTTTTATTGTAAAGATTTCGATATCTTCCGAGTAATATGGATAAACCTATTGGAAAACATATCGACAACAATGAGAATGAAAAAGTTAAAATCGTCTATGACTACAATTGGAATTCGAATTCATATGTAATTGTTAAATAATTGTTCACAAGTGTTCATATTGTGTTCATATGTACACTAGCTGCATATCTCAACATTGGTTTGTTCTTGAATATGTTCATAGTGAAGGAACTATTGTTCACAAACTGTCCATATTGTGTTCGTACCTATTTTTTTTATTTATTTACTTTCGTGTAGCAACTATTTTTATTATATTCATAAATGTTATACTGTCCAAGTTCATATATAAGTCAATTTTTTTTTTTTGTATTTGACACAATGGTAATTTTTTTTTGTATTTGACACAATGGTTCATATATATATATATATATATATATGTGTGTGTGTGTGTGTGTGTGTTCATATGGTTCTTACATTAACAAAAATAAATTAATAAAAATAATGAGATTTTTTTATTTTGTAACTCTCAATTAATGATATGGGAGTTACATAAAAAAGAAAATTACCTAAATACCCCCTTTGTTCACATATGTTCTTTGAAATTGTAAATTTAAAAATTTAATTTTTTATCATGATTAATCACAACTCTTTATTGTAAAAATCAATGGTCAAGATTGGTGAACAAAGTTAACAAAATAATCTTGGTTAACATTTATATATATATATATATATATATATATAGAGAGAGAGAGAGAGAGAGAGAGAGGGGTTGGTTCAAATACTAACCAAAACTATTGTGTAGACTATGCTAACCAATATCAACCAATCATGTTCCATTTTTTAGTTAGGTTCAAATGTAACTCATATATTAATTGTAAGGGTATTTAGGTAATTTATCATTCTTATGTAACTCCCAAATATTTTAATTGGGAGTTACAAATATTAAAATATCACTAATTGATCTTCATGTAATAATGACATTAAGTTTCACATGTGTTCATCTTACTGAATTTTACATTTATTCTTCCTATAATGGTTTTGATATTGTAAATTTGAAAAAAGTCCCTTTTGTAAAGATTCTGCTATAGTCCGAGTAATATGGATAATCATAGAGTAAAACGAATCAACGACGATGAGAATGAAAAAGCTAAAAGCGTCTACGAATACATTCGGAATTCGAATTCCGAAAGTGAAGAAAATAATCAATAAGTGTCACGATATGAACATACGATAGCTATGAACACGCTAATGTGAACATGCTAATGTGAACACGCCTACATTAAAGATTTGAGTTCAGGATGACAAACAATATACATTCTTCATTAAGTTTTGAATTTCAGTAAATCCACATCCTTGTTGATCTTTTTAATTATTAACTTTGTGTAATAATAGTTTTAGTTTTGAAGACTAACTACATAGGGGTTGTTCATTATGTTCACTAAAGATTTGACTTCGGGATGACAAACAATATACATTCTTCACTAAGTTTTCAATTTCAGTAAATTCACATCTTTGTTGCTCTTTTTAATTATCTACTTTGTGTAATAATAGTTTTAGTTTTGTTATTATTTTATGTCATATAACACAAATCATATCATGCTTATATAGGGGTTGTAAATTATGTTCACTGTGCTATATTACTTGATCACACACATAGCGATTACATTTTTCATACTAGGATGCATTAAGACATTTGTGCACAGACACACATATATTAACAGATATCAAATCAGCAYAAATAACACAGACGTAGACGTTGGGATTCGTTACCGTTTTATGTCATATTGCTGATGTTCATATATAGACTTGGGATCATATGAGACCAATGGTTTTTCGTGAGACCCGTAAGACCAATTCTCAACCCTTAGATTAAATCTACAATATGAAAATCTAAACATTCATAAATGTCACGAGACTTCTCATTAGTTCTCAATAATCACAAAATTGTCACTGTGCAATTTAGACCATTAGATCATTAACTTATAAAGCTGATCAATGAACATAAATTGGTCTTACGGGTCTCATGAAAAACTCTTAGTCTCACGTGAACCCAACCCTATATATATATATATATGTATATATATATATGTATATATATATATGTATATATATATATATGTATATATATATATATATGTATATATATATATGTATATATATATATGTATATATATATATATGTATATATATATATATATGTATATATATATATATGTATATATATATATATATGTATATGTATGTATATGTATAATATGACAATAAAACTTACACAAGTTCGTTAGTGTTGGTGAAATTAAAACCCTTGATCTTAAAAGAAGTTGGGTTATCAGATATCCAAAAAAAATGTAATTTTCACAAGGAGTGTTTAATATATATACATATGTAACTTATTCGTGGGTAATATTCAAAAAAAAAAAAGTGTAATCTTTTACTTATTTACTGTTGTAACCGATCATTGATTTTGTGTAAGATTCTCAACAGTTACAGAGAAGAATAAAAATTAATCACAAGGGTGGTGCCTAATTGGTTTGAGCTTGGCTTCAAATGTCAAAAGTACCAGGAGGTCCCAGGTTCAAATCCAATGAGGGATAAAAATCTCTTTGTGGCCACGGAGGTTCAAATACGGTGACTCCGGGCTATCTGCAAAGCAGGTGGTCGTCCTGAAATTAGTCGACTCGCATAGCGGGTTAGATATCCAGATTAATAAAAAAAAGTGTCCTATAAAAAACTGAATTACCTTTTATA